GGAGAGGGGGGGTCCTACGTGGGGATGAAGTTGGAGGGAGGGAGGGAGGGAGATGGAAGACGGGAGGGAAGGAGGGAGGGGAGGGGGAGGGGGAGGGTGGGAGAGGGGAGAGGGGGAGGGGGGTCCTACGTGGGATGAAGTTGGAGGGAGGAGGGAGGGAGGGGAGATGGAAGACGGGGAAGGAGGGAGGGAGGGAGGAGGGAGGGAGGGAGAGGGGAGAGGGGAGGGGATGAAGTTGGAGGGAGGAGGAGGAGGGAGGAGGGAAGGAGTTGGAAAGGAGTTTGAAGGCGGAGGGAAGGGGGAAGGAGGGAGGAGGAGGGAGGGATGGAAGACGGAGGGAAGGAGGGAGGGAGGGGAAAGTGTTTGAAGACGGAGGGAAGGAGAGAAGGAGAAGGGGAGAGGAATAGCGAGAGGGAACGAGGGACAGACGGAGGACAGGACAGAGAAGGAAGAGATGGAGGAAAGAGAGAAAGAATTAAGAAGGAATGGTACCTCCTCATAAAAAAAAAAAAAAAAAAAAATCTTAAAAATTCTAAAACAGCTACGAAAGTGGCAAAAAAGGTTATGAATGAAAAAAAAGAATCTTTTAAAAATTGTAAAACAGCTACGAAAGTGCCATTAAAAAAAAAAAACTTTATGAATGAGAAATACGAAGCAGACGTGCTTGCAAACACACCAAAGCACGCAGGCACGCGGGCGCACCCCCCCCCCCCTGCGAAAAAGCCTCCTTACCCAAGTGCATTCTGATAAGTAAGTAGCCTACACGAGAGGGTCACACGAAAGGGTCAGACGAGTGGGTCAGACGAGTGGGTCAGACGAGAGGGTCACACGAGAGGGTCGAGCACACAGAGGGTCACACGAGAGAGCACACGAGTTCACACGGACGAGAGGGTCACACGAGAGGGTCACACGAGAGCACACGAGAGAGGTCACACGAGAGGGTCACACGAGAGGGTCACACGAGAGGGTCAGAGAGGGTCACGACGAGAGGGTCACACGAGAGGGTCAGACGAGAGGGTCACACGAGAGGGTCGGAGACACACGAGAGGTCACACGAAGGGTCACAGAGAGGGTCAAACGAACAGACGATCACAGAGAGGGTCAACGACAGTCCTTTTTCATTACCTCGATTTAATGAGCTTTTCTAAAAAATTGTTTTAAAATTGATCATTTTTCTGGAAGAGAAACGGGATGGACATGTCAGTACAAGCTCACATACACAGACACAAACACAACACACACACAACCCACACCCACACCCACACCCCACATTACACACACACCACACACACACACACACACACATATATATATATATATACATATATATATATATATATATATATATATATATATATATATATATATATATATATATATGTGATCTTGCGGTGCCGCCGCGAGCCGCCATGGCCACTCAGCAAGTTCTTAAAGCTAATCAATTGGCAATTATCTCGGCGAGGGCGCTGGGAGAGGAGAGGATGACGAAGCAGAATTAGAGATACTCTATCATGAAACACAGGGAGAGGCTGTGGGGGGGTGGGGGTGAAAGGGGAGGGGGGAAGAGGGTGAAGGGGAGGGGAGGGGATGGGAGGAAGAGGGAAGAAAGTGGAAGGGAGAGGGAGGGGAGGAGCGGAAGGGGAGGAGGAGGGGAGGGGAGGGGAGTGGGGTGGAAGGGGAGGGGAGGGGGAGAGAATGGAGGAGGAGAGGGAGGGAAAGAGGGGGAGGGGGAGGGAGAGGGGAGAGAGTAGAAGAGGGAGAGGCAGGGGAAGGGTAGGAGAGGTGGAAGGAAAAATTGAAGGGAAGGAGAGAGAGCAGAGCAGAAAGGGAAAAGGAGGAGGTAGAGGAGAGAGAAAACTCAGGAGAGAGAGAGCGAGAGAGATAGAGAGAGAGAGAGAGAGAGAGAGAGAGGAGAGAGAGAGAGAGAGAGAGAGAGAGAGAGAGAGAGAGAGAGAGAGAGAGAGAGAGAGAGAGAGAGAGAGAGAGAGAGAGAGAGAGAGAGAGAAGAGAGAGAGAGAGAGAAGAAGAGAAAAAAGAAAGAGAGCGAGAGAGAGATCGAAACGAACCAGAGGGAGAGAGAGAGAGAGAGATCTCAGAAGAAAGAAAAGGAGGAGAGCAGGAGGGGGCACGGAGGGGAAGAAGTGGGGGGAAGTGTGGCGGTATTGGGGGTGCGTGACTGCCTCAGCCTTGGCACCGCGAGAGGCAGCGAAGCCCCGGTGCTCTCGCTCGGAGGAACCCGGGAGGGAAATCGGACCAACGAGTCGAACGGAACTTGAGGTCGGGAGCTGCGACCAGGAGGAGAGTTCGTGCGGATCTGCATGTGCGGGAATATGCGTGTACGCAGACGGATGTGCACACATGGACGCGCACATATATTCGTGCATACATACGTACATGAATACATACATACACATATGCACACACACACACACACACACACACACGTACACACACACACACACACATACACACCACAACACACATACACACACACACGCCA